CTATGATTCTTTAAAATCACGAGGTGGATCGAGCTGCAGCTTCTCCCACCTGGCTGGAGAGGTTCTGTGGGCTCTGGCAGGTCGAGTTAGAGCTGTGCTTTCCTCTGCTCCTGCTAGAAGGCACTTCACCTCCTCCTGAAGCACTCTGCAGATGTCAATGCCCGTGACAAGTATTGGCAAACACCTCTGCATGTCGCCGCTGCCAACCGGGCCACCAAATGCGTGGAGGCCATCGTCCCCCTGCTGAGCACTGTCAACGTGGCGGACCGCACGGGCCGCACCGCGCTGCACCACGCCGTGCACAGCGGCCACCTCGAGGTAGGCAAAGGCGGGTTTGGGCACAGGGGGTACCACGTGTTGTCCCCCTGCTTGTGTCCAGGCTTTGCAGGTGGTGAAGGCACCTCTGCCTGCACAAGCGGGGAGGGATGGCAGCCTTGTCTCTCACCACATCTCCCCGTCTAGATGGTGAACCTGCTGTTGAACAAAGGGGCCAGCCTGAGTACTTGTGACAAGAAGGACCGCCAGCCCATCCACTGGGCAGCTTTCCTTGGTAGGTTTTCCCCATGGATGTCTCTCCTGTTTCTTCTCCCATGTTGCTTGCTGCCTGTGGATTCACCTTTCAGGGTGGTGGGACTCCCCAGAGGCTGCTGCACTCAGGTTTTCCATTTTCTGGGATCCTCTGACTCTCACTGCTGTCTCCTGGACAGGGCATTTGGAAGTTCTGAAGCTGCTGGTGGCCCGGGGAGCTGATGTGATGTGTAAGGACAAGAAGGGCTACACCCTGCTGCACACTGCGGCAGCCAGCGGCCAGATCGAAGTTGTACGTCACCTGCTGAGGCTGGGAGTCGAGGTAAGACCCCCGTGGCTGCAAGTGGGGTGGGCTCAGGTCCAAGCCAGACTGGAGACAGGAGTAGAAGAGGGTGCTGGGTGCTGGTAGGAGCCCTGGCTGGTTCTCAGCTGCCTTTTTTTCCTTCCTGAATCCCAAACTCCTCCGCTCCCACAGATCGATGAACCAAATTCCTTCGGTAACACTGCACTTCACATTGCCTGTTACATGGGCCAAGATGCCGTGGCCAACGAGCTGGTCAATTACGGCGCCAACGTCAATCAGCCTAACGAGAAGGGCTTCACCCCTCTGCACTTTGCTGCCGTCTCCACCAATGGGGCCCTGTGCCTAGAGCTCCTCGTGAACAACGGGGCCGATGTCAACTTTCAGGTCTGGCAGCTTTTTGGGATGGGGGGAAGCTCAGGGAGGGTGGTAGGAAACCTGATGTGACACCACTTCAGCCTGATGTGACACCACTTCTGCTCTCCACAGAGTAAGGAAGGGAAGAGCCCTTTGCACATGGCTGCCATTCACGGACGGTTCACGCGTTCACAGATCCTCATTCAGAATGGTGAGTGGCTTCTTCCTCTGGCCCTGGCTTACCCCAGCCTTTTCTTGTGCTTCTCAACACCTGCCTCCAGGACCTCCCTGCTTGTTTGCTTGGAGGGTTGAAGAGCTCTACAATTATCACTCAAATTCACTCTGTGCCCTTGAGGCTGTTGCTGGTGGCCCTGTACTGCTCAGGGTGGCAGGGAGAATGAGTGCCCTCGAGGGCAGCAAAGTGCAGACCAGGGGACTGAAATTCCAGCCAGGTCAGAGCTGCTGCAGCCAGAGAACATTCCCACTGCCACGTCCAGCCTGAAAGACAATATTCTTGTAAGAGGGCTGCAGGCTTGACAGACACTCCAGGGGTTCAGCTGGAGACCTCTGGGGCTGAAACTGTTCCCTCCTGGGGGAGGGTTCCCTGGCTTTGAGCAACCTGGTCTAGTGGAAGGTGTCCCTGCTGATGGCAGGGGGGTTGGAACTGGATGAGCTTTAAGGTCCCTTCTGACCCAAACCAGTCTGGGATTCTATGATTCTGTGATCTAATACCCTGAGCTTGCAGACCAGTGGGCTCTCAGCTCAGGGAGCAGTTCACAGTTCTTCTCCATGATGCTGAATGGATCTGAGTTATCAGCTGTGTCCCCAAGATGGGGATGCAGCCTGGGCTGCTCAGGACCAGGACACCGAGACCTGCTGGTGAAGCACTTGGCTTTTCCTTTCTAGGCAGTGAGATTGACTGTGCTGACAAATATGGCAATACCCCCCTCCACGTTGCTGCTAGATACGGCCACGAGCTGCTAATTAGTACTTTGATGACGAATGGTGCTGACACTGCAAGGTAAGGAAGGGGCTCTTCCTCCCTTTCCCTTTCCACCTTGGGCTGGAGGATGCAGAAATGATCCATCCTGACTCCCTTTCTGTCTCCTGGCAGGCGTGGGATCCACGACATGTTCCCTCTGCACTTAGCTGTTCTCTTTGGATTTTCAGACTGTTGTCGTAAGCTACTTTCCTCAGGTGAGTGGCTCAGCCTCCTGTCCTGCAGTGGGGGCAGTTGAGGTGACCCTCGAGCTTCCCCCTGACTCCCTTTCCCTCCTGCCACCCAGGTCAGTTGTACAGTATCGTCTCCTCGCTGAGCAATGAGCACGTGCTGTCTGCAGGCTTTGATATCAACACACCTGACAACCTCGGGAGGACTTGCCTCCACGCTGCTGCTTCTGGAGGGTGAGCTGTGCTCTGTGTGGGGCACTGGTCCCTGCAGGAAGGTCCTTGCCTTCTCCCAGACCAAACCATAACCCTCTGTGAGCTACAGCACAGGCAGCCCAGTGCAGTGCTTTGGTCAGGACTGGGAGTTGGATCCCTGGGTGCTGTTCTTGGCTTTGAGAGAAAGAGCAGAGACTTGTGTTT